GAGTTTAGTTTTGTGTTTTTTCCGAGTAAAAGAGTAAGACAGAAAAAACCCCAAAAAGTACTGTTTTTCTAATTTTTTCATTTTTATAGGGTTGGTGGACCAAGTAATATTTTAAACGACGACGAATTAATGCACCTGTGTACAAAAAAATAAAGGACACGGGATATATTTTTTATTTAATTTTCCTGAGGTTTTAAAGTCAAAATTTTGTTAAAAATGCCGCTGAAAAGTCTACTTATTTTAATTCAAAGCTTAATATTTCACAAACGGTAAATAAAATCACTATGTGATTGACTTTAGAATGGCAATGTTCTTGTCAACCAGATCTATGATACTTAAAGTATATGAAAAACGAACCGCTACCTCTGAAAAAAGCATTAACAAAAAATACCAATTTTGGGAATTCTTAAAAAAAATTCTGTCATTTAGTTAATATAAAATTAATATATATACATTTTTAATTATCAGTTTATTCAAGTATTCTTATATATTTTGAATTTGTAATATTCGTTTCTTATACTGCACTTATTATTCATTTTTGAAATGATTTTCTCATCTCTCATGAAATATTTTTGCGAATAATTTATAACACTAGAATGTGCTTGTTTCAATCTTGATTTCTGGTTGATAGATATATTTTTAATTTAATGCTCTCTTTGTTTACGGCGATATTTCTTTGTTAGCATATTTTCATTCCTCATGTTTTATCCTTTAATTAAGTCAGTGTTTTTTATTTCTGTGTCCTTTTTTTAAGCATAATTATTAATGGTCCTGCTCTAACAGAATCTTTCCATAATCCATAAGAGAAAATAACTACCCTGTTGACTGTTTACACTTAATTGTAATTTTTGCACTTTGACATGTCAACAGGATTTATGGGCATTTCAAATGAAAACTGATAAATGTAATTACCAAATATAACGGATTAATGTTTGCACTCGAGGGAGTCTACAGGACATTACAGGACAGGTGTGAAGAATAACTGCGATTCCCTGTGGCCATGGATCCGGCTGAGGAAATGTAATTCAAAACGCTCCTCAAGTGGCAGTGGTGACTGGTGTTTGGTGTCAAGTTCATGTAAACACATCGAAAACAAAAGCCAAAAGTCCACACAAAATCAAAAACATATTATGACAGGCCAGGACAGGACATAAAGAGAACAGCTAAGAGAGAAAGAGAGAGAGAGAGAGAGAGAGAGAGAGACAGCGAGAGAAGAGCATATTAGTGCAGACAGAATGAAAGAGCGGGACACTAGATGAAAACTGTAATCAAAGGCAACGCGCAGAAGCATAAAAAAACGGAAAACCCAAAACACACACAGGAAAAGCTTCCGCATTTGTGCCGTGGGAGAGGGGAGGGAAAGCTAGTACTGCTGCTGCTTGGATGCTGCCGCCTTTGCGACGCCACAAAAAACTAGTTTCAGTTTGTCTTTCAACGTTTGTCTGCCAAAATTGGATCTGCCATTGATTTTTGCTGGCCAACAACAGCTGCGTGCCTTACAAATTATTTATTTAATTTATTTATTTTTATTTTATAATGATGCAAATTTTTTTGTATGCATTTTAGCGAAAATTGTTATTCACTTTGTTTGTTCAATTGGTTTACACTTGTCACTTGTCTTAAATAAATTTGTAGTTTTCCAACTATTTTTGCTTGGTTCAAAATTATTTAGTTTTTGGCGCCTTGTGCGCTTCCTAGCAGAACCCACAACACACACTCACGTCCTCTTGTGCGCAGAGTCCCAAACTGACTGAGTTCTGTCCGCGTGGCTTTGGTGGCACATCTGACACGATGGAACCCCAGCAAAAGCATCCATAGCCGCAGCCACAGCCACCACTATCGGCAGCCAGCATCCACCGAGCGGGAAGCTTGCGCTCGGAATTTTTGATAAGAGTCTTACTCACATTTTGGCAAACACTCAAAGCTTTCACACACTGAGCCACTGAGTGAGTGCTAGTCTGAGCCTCGGAGTGAGTGCTAGTCTGAGTCTGAGCGAAGCGGAGAGCTCCTATGCTCGCAGGAAACCCCAAGTTGCTCATGCTATCTCCGGGTGCAGTTTGTGCGCAATTAGATTTCGATTTGTCAAAACAAATCAAAAATCCCAAAGTAAGCACAGAGTCACTAGTGTTAATAGGCTGTTTCTTTATAAAAATAATTAATCTAAAGTGCTTAAAGTGGCGGCACATAAATCTGGTGAGTACACAAGTATTGTTTTTGTATTGTGTCGTGAATCGGCTGATAAGGTTTGCTTTGACCCAGTCTCTCGCCGTTTGTTAAGTTGCTGATGAATTTTTGTGAGCTCCTTTTGCTCACTTTATTGTGGGTCAAGTTTAAGCCGATTCACCCCCTTTTACATATCTAGTGCACGACGCAGTTCTCAAGAGTTCTCCGTACAGTCTACAGTCGACTACAATTTTTTCCCGCTTTCCGAGTCGCAATTGTTCAGCTAAATTTTCAATGCATTTTGTAAAGATTAAAGTGCTAGAGCATTTCCACAGAAGTTTAGGGATTTATTCTGCTTTCTTCAGACAATTCTTTGGAATGAAATTTGATGACATTTGTGGAACATTTTTAAAGTGAAAATTATATGTAATATATTGCATTGAAATGTTGATTTCTGAAAAAGCCAAATACTATTTAAAAAACCTTAACTTGAAAAAAGTAAACATTTTCGAATTAATTCAACTTTTTTTGGGGCATTGTTTAGGTAAACATTTCCAACGAATAGATCCAATGAATTTCCACATAATAGAATAGACTGAACCCCTTTACGATAAGCTTACAGGCCAATTGTGTCTTTGAGACTTACTTACAATCTCATTGTGTGACATTCTGTGATCTTTTACAACGAGATATCTTTGTTTGCAGAGCTTTCGACAATCGTCCAATTAATCAACTTGCATTGAGCTGTTTTGTTTCGTTAAGCATTTAAGTGCAAGCCTTGAGTGTTTTAGGCTTTTGCAGTTTATTGGCCAAACTTAAGTTTTGCATGCATGAGGGTGTGTCTGTGTGTGTGCTAGCATGAATTAGCCTGATGCAATACTTTAGCCGGATTGCACTTGACTTGACGCCTGCAGTTGGCCCCTAAATAAGACTCAGACGACAGCAGCCAGCTTCAACTTCAGCTTCAGCTACTCTGGTTTGTTGGTAATTTACCAAGCTTAAGTCTGCTTTCGACGAAACTGGTCACATGGCATATTTGTGTGCGTGCGTGTGTAATTGTGGTGCAGCTGAGTGCTATGGGTGTCACATGGGTTCAACTGCGGCAACAGTTTAAAGATTAAACCAAACCGAATATTTGCGACTGGCAGTGTTTTGAAGTGTGCAATATTTGCGACTGGTTGTGGTTTACAGACACACGCCCAAAAGTAGGCAATGCGAAGAAGAGAGCGCGAGTAGAGCGCACGTTAGACTGGTCTGTACACCAAACTAAAATTAAATGTAGGGGCTAATAAAAAAAAAACACACACTCACGGTCCCACTTAGCAGCTACTAACCAACACTCACAGACTCTCACCAACAGGAGCACTCCAGTAGTGAGGTCGTAGACACCTAGAAGTCCAGCAGTTCAGCGTGTCCAAGGGTCGGTGCATGGGCTCAGGGGTTTTAGGGCACTGCATACATGACACTAAATAAACGGCCAGTTGTTACTTACAAAGCAACGAAGCCAAACAAATGGTAGAAAATACACCAAATAGCAAATAGAAAGAGAGATAGCAGGATGGCCAAGGTGGCAAACATAAGTAAATGGTTAGTTCTGTGACATTTCCAAATTGAAAAACTACAAATTACTGAGAGAGCGCACTTACGTAGGTTGTAGGCAACTTCTGCATCCCGACCCGTAAATAAATTCCTCTTCCAATGCTTGACCTTATAAGGTCCCTTCCAACGAGACGCATGGCCATCGCCTAGGCAGCAAAAGCAACAGAGAAAAAAATGTTCGCTGCCAAAAAAACTTTCTTTGCATCAGCAAATACATTGTGCAGAAACCCACCCAGAAAACTCCTGAAAATACAATCTTCCTTTTTATACTCGGTAGTCGAAGAGTGAATAGGGTATATTGTATTTCCATTCCGACCCCATAAAGTATGTACAGAATTCTATTATATTCTTGATCAGCATCAATATTCGAGTCTCTGTCTGTCTGTCCGTCTTGATAAGCGCCTGGATATCAGAGACTATAAGAGCTAGTCACCAAACTTTATGTTAGGGCTCATTTGATATCACACTGTCACAAGTGTATTTTAAAATTTCGACATTCCGTCCACACAAAAGGCGCAAATCTCTCATATCCACAATTTTGAAGATTCGAAAAAACTAATAACGCAGCTCCGTAGAGAAAGACTATATCTATCTATCTATCAGATAAGATTGGCTCAGATCATTATTATAGCCAGAATGAAGAAAATCATTTGATGTGGCTACCCCCTAGCCCCTCCAGCAGCTTTTTTGCTTGCATATTGTTGTCATTCTTTCTTGCTCGCACGCTCTTCTTCAAACATTCGTTTTTGTGTAGCTTTTTGGGGGTGGTCTGCCTTTTGAATTCTTTGAGGTGTGAGTTCTGTTTCGAGAGAGTATTTGAGTAAGAAAACAGTAGAGGTGAAATCCTAATAAAAAGTAGAGCTGAAGAGAGGGAGAATGGGTTAAAATGAGGGAAAGGAAATCCGTGCAAGGCAAAGGGCAAAGCTCTTTTGAATTTCTGTTTGTTTATTGATACGCAATGCGAGTTCCTAAAAAAAAACTACTGCAAAGAGAGAGAAAACTAACAGCAAATGTGCTAGATCAAATACCTCAAATTCTGGCTAGCAATTTCTAAAAATTAAATGAAACAAGATACAAAAATAACAAGCACTTTAACTCTAACTGGCATAACCTCTTACACTCAAAGAGTTTCTGGGATCTGACCTCTGAGATTAAAAGATTTTATGGGGAAGTTGGGGAGGGGAATGTTTTGCTTTGCTTATTATTATCAATGATTTAAGAGATGTGCCTCGACTTACCTCTGAACTTGCAGCGCTCCAGTCGCTCATCGCTGTGGTCCGGACAGTCTGACTCGCCATCGCATACAAATCTGATGGGTATACAGGCGCCACTGGCGCATTGGAATTGCTTCTCCTCGCAGTAGTTTGGTATGCTTTGAGCTGCAAATTCAAATGCATATTAATTAATTAAGTTGAAATCTTTGGGTTAGCCGCACACTATAATTAAACACCCACAGGAGATGCTAGATGACAGGTCCAAAGAGGCCATGTGTTGGAATCAAAATCAAATTCATAACTAAAATTTAAGTTGAAAAGTTTGGATCGTTAGGCACAAAAAGAGAGAGATAGCGATAGTGAGAGTAGGCCAAGGCACCCTGTAGACAAGCCTTAAAACCCTTTTTAATGAAAGCCGCAACTTGACAATACACGAAAACTTGTAAATAATGAAAACCCAGTAAAGGGTCGGCGAGGATTAGATATGTATGAATGTCTGGGCTGGGCTTGAGCTACCTCCTCGACCGTCTGGGTCTCCTTTCTGTGTGTGTGCTTTGTGGTGGATATAATCGTAAGAGTGGCAGAAAGTTGTCGGGAAAATTAATAAGCGAGAATTTCATGTGCAAAATAGTTTCCCATTTCCCCCAAAAAGGATTGTCCAGAAGTGTTGGATTGCTTCATCAATCGTTTTATGGCCCACTAGACATTTCACTCAGCCACTGTTTAATTTCCTCTGTTTCGCTGTCCCACTTGCTCTGGCCCGCATCCTCTGTCCCATTTCCTTTTTTTCACTGTCCCTCTCCTCTTTCTTGCTTTTTGGGTATTTCTATGTCTCTGTGTGTCTGTCCCCTCTGTTCTGCCACCCAATTAGCATACAATATGCCAACGCAAATTGACTTTCAGTTAATGTGCTGGGATTTTGCTTAAAGTGTTCGAAGTTTGAGCTTCAACGGAGAGCCAGTGCTATACAGTGCTATGGCTCTGTGGGTATAAGGTCTATCACTGTGCTGTTTAACGCTTACAGTTTAAATGCGCGTATTTAACTCAAATTGACAATTGCTTAGGCAGCGACAACAACAAGAATAGCGTCAGAGCACGGCAAGCACAAGGGGGCACACCACCAATAACAGGCGCGTGTGGCATACTAGACATTTAATTATACTATAAAATATATAGAGTATTTCGAATGGAAGACATCCCGTGAACTGGGACATGTTTTGTATGCTTTGCGGTAATCGAAAATCCATAGACAAACACTCCACCACAGAGTGTCGGGGTACTGAAAAACTTATAGACTTCGAGAATTCTTCTCTTAATGTCTATGGATTAAATCTGTACCTTATCGAATTAACATTGCAGAATCTGCTTACAATTCGATTTTTATAAGATATAGTAGACTCTCTCTCACAGTACAGCTCACTAGCAAAGGGTCTTTCCTACACTCATTCAAGTACAAGTATACACTCTCCATTCTAAAATACCACTGAGAACACTTGCTAGATATGTCATGACTTACATTGCCCTCTGCAGACACACAAAACAGACAGGCATTTGATGTGCTCTTTATTATCATTGGATATTTTGGTGCATGCGAAGGCGCAGTTCCGCTACGTTTATTATTTTTACTTCCATTTGTCATACATATGTATATGCATATGAAGATATGCGTGTACATTTATGCTGAACCATTTATTTCTCCCTCCCTGTTCCTATATCTCCGCCTGTGCACTTTGAAATCTCTCTCTTTATGCATGCTGTGCCATGTTTATTTACCTCTAGATATATTTCACCTCCGGTGTTCTATTTCATTCTCTTTTTTATGTGTGCTGCAGATTCTTTATTAGCCTGCCCCCCTAAATTATTAAAAATGTGCGCAAACATTTTGCATTTCTGAAACTTTATTCCCATATGAGAAGGATGGTTATATCTGTGAGAGAGATCGGATATTGACCTTATATCTTTCGACAAATCTTTAGTTGCTTAATTAAAACGAATATTAAAAGAAAAAATCACAAGAAATACATATGAAATTCGAGTTTTGTTTATACATTTTTATTTCCAGTTTCAGACATCATTTAAGACACTGAAAATTACTCAGTGGTTTTTTATACGGTACTCGAAGAGTAAATAGGGTATATTGTATTTGTGTGAATAACAGTTGTATGTAAAGCACAGAAGGAAACGTTTCCGAACCCATAAAGTATATATATTCTTGATCAGCATCAATAGCCGAGTCGATAGAGCCATGTCTGTCTGTCTGTCTTGTTTGTCGGCTAGTTCTCAGAGACTATAAGAGCTAGAGCCACCAAATTTTGGCTCCGGACTGCTGTATGCTCACACTGAAACCAGTGTATTTCAAAAATGAGCCCCGCCCCCTTCCGCCCCCGCAAAAAGGCTAAAACCTCCCAAACCTACAGTTTTGAAGATAAAAGAAAACTAAAAATACCATTCCGTAGGGAATGACCATATCTATCAGATCACCAAATGGGATCATTATTATAGCCACAATGAAGAAATTAATTTCAAGTGGCTAAACCCACCCTGTCCCGCAGCTTTTGTTGTTCTTTTCACATTCTCTCATTCACACTCTGCTTCTGTTTCACTCGGCCTCTGCCTCTGCCGTCCCTCTGTCTCTGCCTCTGCTGACTTTTAACCCACCCCGTCCCGCAGCTTATATTTGTTTTTTGTTTGTGTGCGGGCGCTGCCTCTGCCTCTGCCGTGAGTCTGCAGTGTGTGGAGGAGCGTGTTGGTGTGCGTAGTGTTGTTGATGTAGATGACAGATAAAGAAAAAATGTAAAATTAGACAAATAACTGCTAAGGTGCAGTTTTAGTACTGAGTGCCGGGTATAAAAGTTGTAACGCGTAAGAAGCGTCTCACACGTCCCTTCTCGTTTTTAAATTATACAACTTTTTGAAAACGGCTCAAATTAATATAGAACTTTATTCAATAAATTTAAATTCTTAGACCTTCTTTTTTTAAGTTCTTCGAAAAAGTACGATTTTGTCGAGTAGTGTTATAAAAGCTTATAATAGGCTTCNGCCCCCTTCCGCCCCCGCAAAAAGGCTAAAACCTCCCAAACCTACAGTTTTGAAGATAAAAGAAAACTAAAAATACCATTCCGTAGGGAATGACCATATCTATCAGATCACCAAATGGGATCATTATTATAGCCACAATGAAGAAATTAATTTCAAGTGGCTAAACCCACCCTGTCCCGCAGCTTTTGTTGTTCTTTTCACATTCTCTCATTCACACTCTGCTTCTGTTTCACTCGGCCTCTGCCTCTGCCGTCCCTCTGTCTCTGCCTCTGCTGACTTTTAACCCACCCCGTCCCGCAGCTTATATTTGTTTTTTGTTTGTGTGCGGGCGCTGCCTCTGCCTCTGCCGTGAGTCTGCAGTGTGTGGAGGAGCGTGTTGGTGTGCGTAGTGTTGTTGATGTAGATGACAGATAAAGAAAAAATGTAAAATTTGACAAAACACCGATAAGGTGCAGATGTTGTACTGAGTGCCAGGTATAAAAATTCTGACGCGTTAGAAGCGTCTCACACGTCCCTTCTCACACTGCTCACACTAAAACAAGTATATTTTAAAAATTAGCCCCGCCCCCGCAAAAGTGCGAAAACCTCCCAAATCTACCATTTTGAAGATAAAAGACAACTTAAAACGCCATTCCATAGGGAATGACCATATATATCAGATCGGATCTATGGGATCCGAGTGGAACATTATTATAGCCAGAATGAAGAAATTAATTTGCAGTGGCTAAACTCACCCTGTCCCGCAGCTTTTGTTGTTCTTTTCACATTCTCTCATTCAAACTCTGCTTCTGCTTCACTCGGCCTCTACCTCTGCCTTTGCCGACTTTTAACCCACCCCGTCCCGCAGCTTATATTTATTTTTTTTTTGTGTGCGGGCGCTGCAGATTTTTTCTCTGCCAGTTATTGTTCTGCCAGTCAACCAGAACAGACCTAGGGCAACAGGCTGCACCACAATCTTCGATAACAGAAATAGCCTACAGGTTGATTGACAGAATCCCAAATGGTGGCCAGAACAGACCACCAGCAGAACAGGGGCAGCGGGCCAATTAAATGCTTAATGCGAAGTTCATTGAACAGTTTTATTTTACTTTATTCCACCCGTAAATCAATCACAGGGTTTGAGGCTCGAGGTCATGGGCCTATGAGAAGTAAATGGAGCCTGGTCAGAAGTGTTTCACATGAAAATTTCGCACCATTAATTCAATGACAGAATGGGCCTGGAGATGCTGCTATGTGAGGGGGGAAAGGAGATGGTTAGCCAAGAGGGCGAAATAATAAACATAAATCAGCGCAAAAGTCAATCAGAGTTCAAATCAATATAAATTCTTTATTAATAGCACAGAAAGGTTACCGAAAGTTGATGTCGTTCCTCCCTTTGATTCTTCCGTCATATTTGATGATTAATCAATGATTTGTTTTAGGTGCGGTTAACCAATAACCATAATAGCCATGGAAAATTACGCAAATAAATACAAATGTTGCAAATATTTCATGCAGATAATATTGTGGATGGCAAAGGCAAAACAACAAACCGAAAGTATTGTGAGAACTCTGCACTTATCAGGCGTTTCGATAATTTTTGATAACAATTTGATGCATTCGCTTAAAAGCGACTTAATCATTGTGGTATTTCTCATTACTAAAATATATTTGTATACATGAGGTTTTAATTGAAGAGGCTTTTCCACAGCTCTGTGATAACATCAAGTTCTTTAGCAGAGATACGAGTGCCAGCACTTCTGAAAAGCTGTAAATAGGGTTTGACATTTGATTTTAGTTTTGTTTTGGGTTTTCAAGCCCTTTACGTGTATTTGTATTACCACAAATCTTTGCTTAAGTCGCTAAATCAATCTGAGTGAGTGCAGAACTCGACACAACACCATTTATGCCTGTTTTGCGATTTTCGGTAACATATTAAATCACATCAAACCCATTCGAAAGTAGAGTAACACCTACCAATCTGCGTAGTTTCTGCTTATCTGATTCTTGAACAAAAACGTATTGCTAATTAATGTGAAATGAAGTGGACGTTGCTCAGCTGATTTTGTCTCGTGAGCAACTTTAGATAATACAGATAGTTGGCAGACAGTGAAGTCAATATTATCAGTAAATGTGAGTGAGCTACAATTTGGCAGACCTCTTATCAACGCAGAGACGTATCATTATAGTTTTAATAGTTTCTGCAAAGATTTAGGGTTAGTCATAAATATTATGCCATAACATATGTTCAAGAATGGATTTGCTTATCAAAATTTGACTTTGAAATATGGGAAATGTTGCTGAATAAAGTTTCTTCAGTTATTTCTGAGATTTATTATTCTGCTAATTTTGGTCAAAGTTTTCATACTCTTACCATATTCAATGCATGTCTAATCTTAGCGCAGCTTTATCTAAAAAATTATAATTTCGTGTGATTTTACCTCTTTTTATCGTTGACAGCGATAAGATAAAATAAACTTTTGCAATTACGATAAGGAAAGACAAAAAAATGAACAAATAATTGTATAATCATGTGAACATTGCGCTTTGAACCGTGTAGTTGGATACGAGAATTCCAGTCGTTAAGACTCGTCGTTTGAGGGGAACTCTCACGACCCCATTCGAAGCGGCTCTTTAGGCTAGTTTCGCTAGCGAAAATTGCTCTTAAATCACTTATTTGGAAAAAAGTGGCCTGATCGCTAACGTCATACCATTTACCAATGAGACAATCAACAACAATTATTCACACATGTTTGTTTATGATTGTTGTTGTTTGGTAGGCGACACGCGAATCCGCCGGTGAGTCAGTTACACGTATTTGCAGGTAAAAATAAATGATTATTATAACCTAGCAAGGCCTTTTAGAAGGTTTTTCTTACTTATTTTGCCAGTTGATGAAAAATGTACCGAAAGGTAGAAACATATCACAGTATTCCATGGGGGATCCCAACGTGGGTAGCGCGTTTCTGCTCGTACTAGTCGTTATTTTTTTGCTTTCACTGAGAAATCTATATAGGAAAACGTCATCGGTCGGCAGTCATTTGTTTAGATTGAATTATGCATATGACTTCCTCAAGCGAACTACTAATGATATTCTACAGTCTGTGGGAAATGTAGACACATGGGGAGAGGGGGCCAAGTCTAATTTGCGAGCCAACAAATCACGCCACCTCCGATGAATATTTTTATTTGCAATTACATTTTGGCTCGAGTAAGAATTTTCACAACACAGCGCATTGCATCGCGGCGTATGCGTAATATTTTAATTGTGACCCAAAACACATGTATACATATGTATGTATATATTTTTAAAAAGAAATTCTGAGCTACCAGCTAAACTACCTTTCATAATTGTATGTTTCTCTTAGCACTTAATTACAGTTAACAAACAATCATTTCATTTGAATGTGGCTTGCATATGTATATTGCTTATGAAATTTGTCACTTGCACACAAAGAAGAACAACAACGAGCTCTGAACCACCGAACACTGAAGACGAGCCTGAACAATTTCAACGAACTGTTCGTTGTTTGTGTGACACTTATTTGGCTTCCATCATGTGCTGGAAGTGGCTTCAGGCCTGGGAACCGGTTTTTTCAAAAAGAGCAACATAAAAAAACTAAGAAAGATTTTAACTCATAATAATACATAATGGAAAATGTTTTTGTAATTAAGGCCCATGACCATCTACGTACCGTAGATGGATGCATGTATCTGGACTCTGACGTCAGGACACGTTCAAATTCCAAGCATAATTAGCCGAGTTAATTATAAAAGACTGCACTTAAAAGCAGAAGCCGTTGCCGAAGGAGCAAGCAAACTTGTTTCAATGGTGATCTGGTTTTCGTGATCTGGTTTTGGCTTCTGGGATATGCTGCTTTGGTTTGGGCTATAGGTACAGTCATTAAGCAGTCAAGGATATGCCTAGAACATGTTAATTGTATCTTTCTACATACACTCTCTAGTTCTCTAGCTCTACCTCTATGTGAATTTCCATTTAGTTTACTCTAAACTTTTTTTGTAGAAATTTCCCGGTGTCTTCGAATGTCTTTTTGTGACCTATATCCGATTAAACCTAGTCCAACCAATCAATTGACATTTGAGCTTCAGTCATTTTTTAGCTTTTACTGAAATTCTCAGGGATGTTTTTCGGTTGGAGAGCTACAACGGAAATGCATTTAGAGCTTTGTTAACTTTAGAGCTGATTATTTATAACGGGGGCACAACACCACCAACCTCTCGAGATATGTAGTAGCTAAAGTTTTATGCAATCGTAGATTGATGAAGCCGATACACACTCTCCTATACTGTTACGCTATTTTAACTTTGACATTCGTGTCCATCGCAGACCATCGATTATATTGTTTTCGTTTATTTTTCATGTTGAAGGTTTATGTTTACGAAAAGAATAAATAATTAAGTCTTTCGTTTTGTCATTTCCCTATGTTCATTGTATTTTGGTGAGAACTTATCTGCAAAGTATTTACTTAAATTGTTGTCTAAGTTGCAGTTTTGTTTTTATACCCGGTACTCGAAGAGTAAATAGGGTATATTGCATTTGTGCACAAAGTGAATGTATGTAAAGCATAGAAGAAACGTTTCCGACCCCATAAAGTTCATATATTACTGATCAGCATCAATAGCCGAGTCGATTGAGCCATGTCTGGCTGTCCGTCCGTCTGTCCGTCCGTCTTGTTGAGCGCCTGGATCTCAGATACCATAAAAGCTAGAGCCACCAAATTTTGCAAGTGTATTTTAAAAATGGGAGCGCCCCCTTCCGTCCCCGCTAAAGTGCGAAATTTCGTAGGGAATGACCATATCTATCAGATCACCGAATTGCGATCCGATTGGACCAATATTATAGCCAGAATGAAGAAATTAACTTGCAGTGCCTAAACCCACCCCGCCCAGCAGCTTATATTTGTTTTTTTTTACATTATCTCATTCAAACTCTGCTTCTGCTGTGTGCGGCCACAGCCGCCGGTCTGCAGTGTATGCGTCTAGGGGAGCGATCTAAAGAAGCGTGTTGGTGTGAGAAGTGTTGTAGATGTAGATGACAGATGAAGAAAAATTGTACAATTTTACAAAACACCGCTAAGGTGCAGATGTGGTACTGAGTGCCGGGTATAAAAGTTGTGACGCGTAAGAAGCGTCTCACACGTCCCTTCTCGTTTCTTCTCGTGCTTGGTGGCCTTACAAATAAATTTCTCATCTTATGGATTAAGGATTGTATTTAATTAATCAGAAATTAGAAAGAAATTGAAGTCTAGATCAACTATTTCTAAAGAGTAACTACTATGAGAAGAATTGAAAGAAGATCATAGTCCATTTATTTGTGATTCCCCCACTTGACTTCCTATGGTCTTATTTAGAAGAAAAATAACTAAAACAGCGATAAAGGCTCGCAGTTCTCGAGTATTTAAATTGATTTATAGCTATTAAGGCTTTATTCAGCAATATTAAACCCTACCAAAACATGTGTATTCACAACTTCACTTCTGTTCCAATATACATTTCCTATTAAATGATATTTAAACCTTTTGCGCATGTGCAAGTTTTCAAGAGCACTCGTCCCACTGCACTATGGGGAATAAGACCAATTTTTTTTTTGTCAAAAATAATAACGTCTCAACGAAACAATATATTTTGAAACATTTTATTTCAGGTAATTTTGAAAATCGGTTTTTGGACAGAAAAAGTGGTCAAATTCCCCATAGTGCTCTGCACGAAACTCCAAGCAAGCGTACGGGCAAGCAGACACTTGTTGCTCTTTTCTGTTGCCCACCCTATGCTCTTGTTCTCATATACGTGTCTCTCTCTCTCTCTTGACTATGAAACGAAGCCGGCCGGTGTAAAGCATTAAACGGAATAATTACCAAAGCAAAACCCGCAGAAAGCAGAAAGAGCGGAGCGATGAAAAAGGCAAGAGAAGGAAAGTAAAAGGCAGGCAGGCTGCTGGATGGAAGAAAATGGAAAGAGAAGTTGGGGAGCTGGAAGCTGGAGCCATAAGAGCCAGCCAGAGTAGAGTAGAGTCTAAAAATCGAATGATGTTGTGGAATGTGTATAGCAGCATATAAAAAGGCAGTGGAGTTGACTAGCATTGCATCGCCAAGCCAGACGCCTTGGCTTTAGGTTCGCAAAAAAATGCACATAAAAAATACATAAATAAACTTGAGCCGAGCCGACCGCGGAGTTGGTTGTTGCTAAGAGACGACTCTCTGACTCTCGGCAGTCGGCAGCTGGTGTCAAGACACGAGGCCGTTGGCATGATCGACTGAAACACGAGAGCCAGCGGCGGCCCCAAAACAATAAACACTCTTTTTGGGCTACCTATGCACTTGGGGAAAATAAGATAAGCCGAGAATAAAGGGAATGAAAATTTTCACTAATTAAGAATACAAACGCAACTCTTGGTTGATTGGGGGAAATAGAGTGAGAGAGAGTGAAAACATGTGGAAGGAGCTCCATAAAAATATAGAATGAAAGGCTAGACCACATTTGGAATCAGGTAATTACCAGAAATGGAATATTTAATAACCTTCCTCCACTCTTTATTCTAATTATGCTAAATTTTGTACTCACTTATATCCAATGGTGTTCCAATCTTGCCGGAAACATTCAGAAACTTGAATGGATTTCCATTAAGCACCGAATTGATAGAGTGCCCAAAATTGGTCACTCCAATGGGACTCAGACTGTTGGCTGCCGCTGGGGCCAGGTGCTTTAGTCGATCCAATGGCATCCCCAAAGTGCTGGCCTTAATCTTCTCCAGGAGCGCCGAACCACTTAGATTTTGCATTATCTCGCTGGGACTGGGCGTGGAGGCCGTCACCTGGGCGGCATTTACTGCTGCGGCATTGCAGAACTTGCTGATGCTCAAAATGCACGTGATGAAGAGCAGATGGAACGAGGAGGTGAAGCTGAAGCTGATTAGCTGCTGCACCCAGCTCTGGTAGTTGGTGCTGCTGCTGAAGAAGAACGCACTGGTCACGGTGGCCTTGGTGGTCACCAGCGACTGCTCATGGGATGTGTGGGTGGTGGTGCTGCTGCTGGCAATGTTACTATTCATATACTCATTCTCATTATTAGATTGAAAGCGTTCTGTATAATTGGGCAGGCAAACTGTTGCCATCTCTATTTCAACTGTGAAAATATATAGAAATTTAGGTCTAACACACTGTTCACACAAATTTGCTACTTTATCCCCGATCCGAATAAGAGCATTATGGAATGTTCTCGAAAAATGCGAAACGGTTGCCAAAAATCTGCACGAACAAGGAAGAGATCGAACAGAGCGATGAGGTAGATAGAGAGTGATAAATCAACCGAATTTTGTACGCAAAGTATATAGAAGAAGAGAGTGTAAAGAAAACGCACGATAAAAATGCCAAAAAAAGCCACGACTTAAAAAAGACACATCATACGATGTTGCAAATAACAGGTAAAAGAGAAAAAAAAAAACACACACACAAGGGCGACGATTAGGTTTCGATGAGGCCGAGGGTTATTCACGTAAAACGAGACAAGGGTTTAGCCTGACTCTGAATCTATCTCTCTTTAATCTCCATTCTCTTTAACTCTCTCTACAAATATGAATCACATTCAGTTTCAGCCGAGTATTTTCTGTTTTCTCAGCTTAACATAATTGTAAACGATATTAGCAAATCCCCAGTTGGTTAAGCTCTTAGGAATATGAAACCGTCCAAAAAACGGGGGTACTTTAATTCATAACTTGGTAAATGTTATATTTTTCGCAAATGTTTTTCCCCATGTGCTATAAAAATTGCAGATAGATTCGTACATTATCTGTTAATTAACAATTTTTACTGGGAGGTGCACAATGTGGAACTGTCTTTTGTTATGTTTTAATCTTGTTCTAATATATTTATTATTTGCATTTGGCTGTTGGCCTAATCTTTATTCGCGTTCCAAAATATGTACGAACTGAGATATTAACGGTTAGATAACATGCGATACACTGACAGAAGACGACAGTTCGGCACGCCCGACAAAAACGACTAAAAAACTGAGGGAATGTCGTGGCCAATCGTGCCCAACTACAGCGGTTCAACCTCGGAATTTGCTCGTTCGTTTGACTGTGCGTAGCGACAAACCGACGATCGCCACGCGTCCAAGCCGAACGAAGCGAACACACCTGAGCGCTGTGTCTGATAAAGAGAGAGAGAGAGAGAGAGATAGTGAGAAAAAGCCGGAAAGAAAGCATGAACAGAAAGAGAACATGCATGATGCAATTATGCAAGGTGGTCGGACTTCGGGCAATTATTTTTCAGTGCGTGCTTGCTTTTTGACGTGAACCCACATGTTAACCCTTATACGCAAAACTGACTTTTCGGTTTTCTTACCCGTCACAACTTTTATCCCCGGCACTCAGTACTACATCTGCACCTTAACGGTGTTTTGTCAAACTTTAAATTTTTTCTTCATCTGCCATCTACATCTACAACACTTCTCACACCAACACGCTCCGTTACACTATGGTCCCAATGACCACTTTTGTTGTCTTAAATTAATAACTCGCGAACGAAAAAGGATATTTTGATTTAATTATTTGCTATTAGTTAGGAATAGCAAGGGGCATGTTTTTTGAGAAAATAGGCGTGGCACCTCCTTCTTTTGAGAAAAATAAGTTTTTATTTATTTTTCTCAAAATTTTAGAAGGAAAGTAAGGATGGGAATATGTTTAGCAGTGCAAGATTCTATAAAAAAGTCGTAGCACGAATTAAAACAGCTTAAAAGCTTTTTTCCCAAAAAGCATTTTCCATAGCAATTTTCATTTTCCAAAGCATTTTCATTATAAAACAATATTACACCTGATATCAAACTCTAGCCCTCCAAAATAGCAAGTGACTAATACTGTGGCTTAAATGCATGCATACTTCACAATTTTCTTCTTCATTGTGTTTCAAACGGCGAAAAAACATTGAAATTTCTCATTTGAGGTTATGATCTATAAATGCAAATTATAAGAGTTGTAGTCAAATGTGGGATTTCTGACTATATAAATTTTAACAATCATTTATTGTTCTACGACACAGAATAGGTTTCAAGGTGGAACTAGGTGGCTCTTTATTAAAAAAACCATTTTCAAAAATTAGTTTTTACTACGAACTGATACATATTAAAGGCCTCACTTTAGCATACAATTACGAAGACAACTACTAGATACCGTTCACATTACAAAAAACGTATTAAAAACCCTACTGAATAAAATGCATCAAAAAAATTGGATCAGTTAATCGTATTTTTCAATTTATGAGATATTTAAAACAGCAATAAAATTGACATTTTTTCACTGCACATGCTGCGCAATAATGACCGCTGGGTTTCACTGCTGATTTTGCGCAGGTGGCGCCATCTATGGAAATTTCTGGTACGCAACTTTGATGGTCACTCTTTTTCTAATACAGAGCGCCAAAAACCACTTTTTGGTTTTAACTTTTAAAAATTACCTTTTGGCCAAGAAAAGTGGTCATTGGTACTATAGTGCGTTAGCTCGCCACCCTTCCCTAGACGGGGTGGGTTAAACGGGTGGGTTAAAAGACGGCAGAGGCAGAGGCAGGGTGAATGTGAAAAAAACAACAAAAGCTGCTGGAAGGGGTGGATTTAGCCACTGCAAATTAATTTCTTCATTCTGGCTATAATTATGATCCTACTCGGTGATCTGATAGATATGGCCCTTCCCTACAGAATTTTCTTTTATCTTCAATGTTGTGGATACCGCAGATTTTCGACCTTTGAGAATCTTGAGGCAAAATTTGGTGGCTCTAGCTTTTATAGTCTCTAAGATCCAGGCGCTCAACCAGAAGAACGGACGGACGGGTAAACAGACATGGCTATTTCGACTAGGCTATTGATGCTGATCAAGAATATATACACTTTATGGGGTGCGAAACGTTTCCTTCTCTGCGTTATATACATCCAGTTTTCCCCTCAAATAAAATATACCCTATTTACTCTTCGAGTACCGGGTATAAAAAAACTTCAACTATTATTTTTGTGTTATTGGCAACTATAAACCGCATGCCACCTAAGGGCTCTAAGCACACTTTATATACGATTTACTCACAATTACTACGCAGAACCCTTTCACTCGAACTTATTAACGGTATAGATAGTTGACTAAATTTTACCGACGACACCACCCTGCATAATTCCATCAAGGTCTGAAGTGGAGTTGTAGCTGAGTCGAGTTACGATAGTGTACTCTTTACAGTAGCATATTCTGCGAGGCGCCATAAGAGAGCGATGACAGCGGTCATGAAGCAATTATATAAGGAGGTGTCGTCGGGTGGGGTTCGGGTGTGTTCGGCCTCTAAATTTTCAGTTCGGTCTCTATTGTTCATGCTAGTTTCGTTTCACTCACACTTGCTGCGCAGAACCCTCTTAATCACGCTCACAAGCAGCATTAATACATGACAAACGGGCCTGACGGCACCTCCTAATATAAATGCTTCATGTCATGCTTCACGAAACAGCTGATATTAAAATATATTCTTGGTGAGAGAGCAGGGGGTCTTGTTATTGATTCTCTTAATGATAAAAACATTTCTCTTCACGCAGCATCCATTAATAGCTGGGGCACCTACATACGTTTGTAGATGTGTTCTACTATGATATTTGTAGGCTATTTGTAAAATTATAGGAATAAATTGTTTGTTGGCATAGTCAGAGACCAGAGACCTGAGAGCCTTGATATAGCCAATAGTTGATTGGATGTTAAGTAAGAATTTAGTTGTATGTATAAATTATAAATTATGTCTGCTTAAAGCGTGAAAACTAAAAGTAAAAAATAGTAAACCATTTGGCTTTGAAACTTGCAGAACTTTAACTGTAAGATCAACACTCTCACAAAAAAAGAAGAGAAACACAACATTTCATCGATTTTATACTATACATATGTAAGTATAGTTGACTTTATTATTTATCATCTGGTATCTTTTAGTGTGGGAAATATATACATACATATCTATGTATTCTTTATGTACACTTAACAAATATAGTTAACAAAAGGTTAATACGTACATATGTATATAGTAATAATAAAGATAATAAAACTATTTTCTGCTCATCGAACACACATAAATATAATTTCTCAAATCTCTCTAATAGTACTAGAATGATCATTACCATATGTATACATGCATACACATACATATATTTATTTGATTATATGAGTATATTAATTAGTTTCCTTCTTTTTAAAAATAATGCACACTTACAGCTATATACAGTTTGGAACTATTTTTTAATTTATAATTAGCAATTAGATTTCTTATTTAAATCTTCTTTTGTGTGTATTTATCTGTTTGTGTGTGTTTTTTTTTCTGATACTTAGAACTCTGCGACAAAGTATTTTTGTACAGCATCCTCTAAGGATACGCCTCCTAGTGACACGCCGTGTCCCCTTGCCATGCCTTAAAATGTTAAAATAATTAATTTACACAATACACAGAGTTACTCAGTCTTCAGGCGTGTGTCTTCTGCGCGTCTGCTTCTCGTGTCTGCTCTCCCAACCCACCAACCAAACAAAGGAAGTAAACAAGTAACATTCTTTCTAATACGAGGATATGCCTATGACGGGTGAGTACTAAAAGGAATTATATAGGAATAAACAAAGTACATTTTTTAAGTGTCCAAATAAGTGTTGAGAGTATCAAGTACCTCCTCATCCATGACACTGGTATGATCATATATGCGCGCTGGCAAATTCTTGCGCAAACTAAAATGATCCTCTGTGGTCGTGGTCTTTCGGTAAATGGGATTCTCAAAGTTCATTGAGTTGATGGTTCGCTTGCTGCAGTAGCGATAGCCAATGAGCAGGACCTGTCAAAGAAACAAAATTTAACTTTAAGGTTCCCTTCATTGAGGACTTTCTTCGCTGGTCTTACCACCGATAGCAGAACTGCAAAACCACTGAGACTGGCGATGACAACCAGCGCTATGAAGCCCGAATCTGGTTGCGGACTGGGCGCTGTCGTGTGTTCGATTTGTGTGTGGTTCTTTACTGGACGCTGGTCGGCAACTAAGGAAGAAAATGTTTTAATTTTAAATTAGAAATTCATTTTAGATTGCTGGTAACCATCACCGAACTATAAACATTTCAACAAACTTAAAATATATCATAAAACTATAACTTTTACTTCTTAGATTTTTGGCAAGATACATGGCCACATACATATTAATTTCCGTTGATGAACCAAAAGAAGAAATAAATGTGTTAAAATGTATAAGGGGAAAAACGGAATTCATAACAATAAAAGAGCTGAATGAAAGATGGAATTAACATTAAAATCCAAGCGGATTTCGGAGGCTGCTTTTGCTCACATCCGAAAGAAATTTCAATCAAGTCGTTCAAAGTGCGCATTTAGGCGCAAATAAACACTTAAACACTCTCGCCTTTGATGGCGCAAAAACTTTTATGGGGGCGGGGGATGAGGCTGAGCGACCGAATTCGATTTGGACCGAGAAAGGGATTGGGAATGAAAATGGCAATGGCAAAATCAAGCCCAGGGATTGGTGAGGAAGAAGACTGGCAGGCAGCGTAAAGTCATCGTTAACACGACGCATTTAATGGGCTTTTGTCTTCCATTCAGTGGGTCGGTCGGAGGGTGTGGGTGCGGCTTTTAGCCGCGATTGAATCAAGCCGAAACAGTAAAAGTTATCAACATTAAGTTAAAGTTGCCTTCAAGGCCCAAAGACCATGCACCACGCCAACACCAGTACTACACACACAGTAGGGGAAAGCTTAAATATTAACCTCATACTTTGCGGTTGGGTATTGTGTGGTGTCTGGCGGTGGTTCGATGAGTGGGTTGGAGAGGGTTGGAGGGTTTGGGGCTGTTGGACGTTTCAATTGCAACGATGGCCCTACTACAGTGGTTTCCTCATTCCTGCGAGGGCTATGTGCTCCAATGCAAGTGTCACTATTCTCGGATGGCATTTATGAAACTGTCAAGCATGGGGTTGGGCTCCGCCCCCCTCTGATGATGATTAATGGGGCCCATGACAAAGAAAATGTCGTGGATAGCAACCCGAGAGGTGTGTTGAGGGTGCGGGAAGCGTTTCCTGGCCAGAAAAGTGATTTTGAGTGCGTCTGCTGGGTAGCATTTTGATTAATACGCGTGCAATACATCTGAATCTCAAAAATTGTACATATTTTCTTCATCTGTCATCTACATCACTTCTCACGCCAACACGCTCTTTAAGCTCGCCCCCCTCCCCCAGAGGCGCTGGCTATAATAATGATCCCAATTCGGTGATCTGATGGATATAGTCCCTTCCTACGGAATTGCGTTTCTTTTATATTCAAAATTGTGGCTGTGGAAGATTTTCGTCCTTTGTTGGGGCAGTAGAGTGGGCATACAGCAGTCTGGAGGCATTTGATGGCTCTAGCTCTTATAGTCTCTGAGAACTAGCCGATAAAAGCAAGACGGACGGACGGGCAGACAGACTTGTCTATATAGACTCGGCTATTGATGCTGATCAAGAATATATATACTTTATGGGGTCGGAAACGTTTCCTTCTGTGCGGTACATACAGCAACTTTGTGTACAAATACAATATACCCTATTTACTCCAGTTTCCAGATAATAAGTGAGTATATCGAACTTTCCTATGATTCTTTATACAAAGATGAACACACACATTGTAGGAAACACAACACACAACATGGAAAACAGAGAAATACACAGGCACAGACATAAAGTTGCCAGGCATACCGATTGTTCCGTGCCCCAGTGGCAGCTGCGTGCTCAGCCTGGTCTCTTCATGCGCTTCTCTATCTGTAAGCCTCGCTGGCAGTCGCCGTGGCTCTGTTTTCGTTTTCGGTTTTGTTTTCAGTGCTCGCGGGGGTTTAGTGACGACCACATAAAGGGCTGTCATGCAGCAGCGAATCATGCACGTCAGATATTTTCAGATTGCGGTTGGGATTTGGGTTGGGGGGTTAGTAAGCATAAAATCAAAAGTTAAACTTTTAGCATGCAAAGTCCAAGAGACTCCAGAGGGATCGTTTGATGTACTTACGATCTTCGACGCACATAAGCCCATCGGCCATCAGCTTAAGGCCCGTGGGGCAGGCGCAGGAGATTCGCGGACTGCGTTCGTTGATCCTCGGTGCGGGCAGGCAGAGGTGGGAGCAGTGGCCATTCACGGACTGACAGTGGTTGAAGCCATCGGGCTGTCGATACGGATGATACACATGGATCACCATCGGATGTTGTAGCTGTGACAGGATAGCAAGGATATGAAATGGAATACAAGAAAATGGATATTAGATATCGGCTCACCATGTGTACCGCTGTGATGGGCTCCACACCCTCTCCCGTGAACTTATTAGCCTTGAAGACGGTCTGCTTGTCCCAGTCGCTCCAGTAGATGTAATCCTCGAATGTGGTGATGGAGAAGGGATGCCGCAGGTACTCGGTGGAGTAGAGAATCTGGCGCCGCTGGGAGCCATCGTAGTTGGCCGACGAGATGACATTCAGCTTGCCATCCACCCAGTAGATGCGTTTGCGCACCAGGTCCAGGGTGATGCCGTTGGGCCACTTGACGTCGTAACTGATTATGGTGGTGCGGTGGCTGCCATCCATGCCGGCGCGCTCGATGCGCGGGGAGGCGCCCCAGTCGGACCAGTACATCCATCCCTCGATGGGATCGAGGGCGATGGAGCGCGGTATGTCCAGCGCATCCTCAATGAGCACCTTGCCCATGTTGCCATCAAAATTGGTCAGCTCGATGGTGCACTTGTGCGTGTCCGTGTAGTACACGTGGTTGTAGATCCAGTCCACTGCCAGTCCATCCGATGTCACTGACGACTGTTTTAGCACCACCGTCTTCTCGTTTCCCTCGTCAATGGGCGCCTTGTAGATGCTCTGCGTCGTCACGTCGCTCCAGAAGATCATTCCCGTGCGAAACACAAAGTCCAGTGCCGTCGCCGACTTTGTGCTATTCACGATCGACGTCATTTCCATGTGGTCGAGGGCGATCTTCCGTATATCGTGACGTCTCGCCAGAAGCAGTGAGGCATGTCCCTCACCCGCCTTGCAACGAGTGTGATTGTGCGGGTCCCGCATGTATCCCGCCTCGCATTCGCACTTGAATCCCCCAATCTCGTTGCTGCACAACTGGGAGCAAGTGCCTGGATTGTCACATTCATTGATGTCTACACAGTTGCGCTTATCTCCGGATAGCTTGTATCCCTCGTGACATTCGCAGCGGTGACCCACCACCAAATCCACACACTGGTGCATGCACCCGCCATTCTTGGCGGCACACTCATTCACGCCACACTTGCCTGCCGGCTCGTCCTCGCCATCGGGGCAGTCCTTCCGCTTGTCACAGACCCTGCTCAGGACAATGCACTGACCCCCACCGCAGTTAAATTCGCTTGTGGCAATGCAGGTGCCCTTCGTGGTGCCTAGGCTCTGGCTGCAGTCCCGCTCGTCGCTGCCATCCGCACAATCCTTGTCGCCATTGCAGGTGAGGTGTCCGGTAATGCAGCTGCGATCCCCGCACTGAAACTGGTCCGGTCTACAGGTCACGTTTTTGCAGTTACCCGTATGCTCATCGTCGCCATCGGGGCAGTCCCGGTCGCCGTCGCAGAGCCAGCTGTGGTGCAGGCAGGTGATCCGATCCTTGCACTGATACTCATGAGCCAGGCAGGGTATGGTAGTGTTGGTCACATTCGGGCAGGACTAAGGGGTGGAGGCAGGGGAAAGATGCAAGAGAGACGCGTGAGACATTGTAAGGCAAACTTTTCGGTTTGTGGTGTCGGTTTCTCTTGGGGGGCACAATATGAAGCAAACTTTTTCGTTGTCCCAGGTTGACCCCTGGTTTGAAGTTTTGGCTGGCATTGTCTGTGCAATGCAATTTTATGCGTGCCATGCGTTGACAACAAAAGCTACCAAAGCTGCTTTGGGCATTGAGTTATGCCCAACTGTGTCGTAATTTATGGGGCTTACAGTCCCAGCCCATTCCACACAGAGAAGCAAAAAATAACCGAGGGAATGTAGCAGAAAAATCCCCATGAATGCCATGGTAGAGCTTTTTTTTGTGCGGCACCACACGAAATGTAAATTTATGTCAAAGTATTATTTACTCACCCGCTCATCGGAGGCATCCGAACAGTCCGGATCCCCATCGCACACCCAACGCTTGGCGATGCACGCCCCATTGGTGCAAGTGTGCTCGGCCACAGCGTCGCAGGGCACCACCGGACACTCTCGCTCGTCGGAGCCATCGCCGCAGTCATCGTCGTGATCGCACACCCAACGCTTTTGTATGCAACGCCCGTTGCCGCAGGTGAACTCGTCGGAGCGGCAAGTTTGATCTTAAGGAATTTAAAGTATTTCAGAAAAATATGGAATAAAGGCAGAAAGGAAGTTTCAACAAATGACAGAAATGGCAGCCGGACACAAACCGGCAAATGAAGTGCGGTGAAGTCGATGGTTAGGCAGGAAGTTTGGACACAAAGTTATGGTTTGGGATGATATATGGCATAGTTGGGAATGGTAAAGGTTGCTAGAGTGGATTAGAGCTTAACATAAAGTGAAACAATTTTAAACTTACATGGAATATGAGAGAGAAATTAAAACTTTACTAAAATTTGATAAACGGAAACTAATACTCGCAAATAAAATTTAAATCTAACATACAGAGCTTTTGACTTAATAATTTCAAATCAAAGAGCAACCAAAATGCATGGCAAAGTTAAAAGAAGGAGATAGCTGATCCTTACTGCAGTTGTGCTCATCGGAGCCATCGCTGCAGTCCTTGCTTTGGTCACACATCCAGGCCAAAGGTACACACTGCCCTTCGCCGTTTTTGCAGGCGTATTCGTCCGGGGAACAGGTGCGTGCCTCTGTTGTGTGGCGTTCAAGCGTTCAAAGAGAACATAAATATAGAGTGAAAAATACGAGTAATGCCTACATCTGTTGATATACATTAAAAGCCTGCTCAAGAATCAAACCCTAGCATACTCCTAAATATTTTCTCTTTAACTAATTTGCCCAAAGGTACTTAGGTACCATGCAAATGCATTCATTTGTGTTAAGTGCTCTGCCAAAGGAATCTGCTCAATATTCCATCACTCTTGGGGTAGCCATTGATGCGTTAAAAGTATCCAATTGCATTAAGAGCATTTCCCTCAATACACTCTATTCCCATTCCCGTTTACAGTTTTCCTCTAGCGATCTTGTGCATGGCTGTGCACTGTGTGCGTGTGTTCCAGGATTAAGTGAATTTTATGCGCCATTGCCAGGCGGCAGCAGCCAAAGTCAACGGGAGCCAGCGCCACACACACGCGTCGTATGCTTGTTGTCAAGGGTTGCATGAATGAGTACACAATGTACACATGCACACAAAGAGGGGTGTACTCTTACATAAACATATGTGCATCTACACATGGGTAAAATCTCACTTTCAATGACTTGATTAAACCTCTAAGGATGAGGCACGAGAGGGCATTGTTGCGAGAATTATGCAGAATGCCACTTCATTAACAGTGCGTATGAGTTATGCGACATAGTTGGGTTAGTGAAAGCGATTACACAAACACAAACACACACAGGAGTAGTAGTAGTAGTAGCAGTGGTAGTATGCACGAGCTGGTATGGGGGGATAGATATAGAATGCTATTTTCGCTTACTGCAGTGCGCCTCATCGGACTTGTCGCGACAATCGCTGTTGCCGTCACAGAGCCAGCCACGCGGAATGCACTGCTCGACGGTTTGGCATTTGAACTCGTTGTTGGGACAGGCATTCACTAAGCAATACACAATCAAATAAGTACAATCGATTCGTTTCTCACCACGAGCGTTGGGATTCTGCACGCTCGCTGGTGGGATTCTGTGGTTGCGATTTATGGCTACTTACTGCACAACGCTGTGGCCTCATCGGATCCATCAGAACAGTCGTTCTCCTGGTCGCAGCGCCATTTATTCGGTATGCAATTTCCATTCGTGCAACGGAATTGGTCCGTCAAGCAGGTGGCCTCTGTAAAGAGCAAACGAAAAAATGTGTGTGTTGAATCAAGTGTATTTTTTTGGTAGGGGTATTTTGGCTATTTTTTCCCCGTTACTCGAGCTTGATTTGAACCCGTATCAAAAACAAAAGATTAAACACAAACGGAAACAACGGGCTCTCTACAAATGTGTTTGTGTATGCGATTATGACCACACTCACTACGCCCATACATACGTACATAAATAAACACACAGTTTTGTACACGCACTTGAGCACGTGCCTAGAAAAGACGAGAAGGGACGTGTGAGACGCTTCTTATGCGTCACAACTTTTATACCCGGTACTCAGTACTACATCTGTACCTTATCGGTTTTTTGTCAAATTTTACATTTTTTCTTCATCTGTCATTTACATCTACAATACTTCTAATGAAAACACGCTCCTTTAGCTCTCCACCCCTCTCTAGAGCCGCACACTGCAGAGTCACGGCAGAGGCAGAGGCCGCACACTGCAGTAGCAGAGTCTGAATGAGAGAATATGTAAAAAACAACAAAAGCTGCTAAGCGGGGTGGGTTTAGCGGCACTGCAAATTAATTTCTTCATTCTGGCTATAATAATGATCCAATCGGATCCAATCCAATTCGGTGATTTGATAGATATGGTCATTCCCTACGGAATGGCGTTTGTAGTTGTCTTTTATCTTCAAAATTGTGGCTATCGAAAATTTTCGTTGGGCGAAAGGTTGCGGGGCTAATTTTTTAAATACACTTGAAACAGTGTGAGCATACATCTGGATGCAAAACTTGGTTGCCCTATCTCTTAAGGTCTGACAGACGGCCATTGATGCTGATCAAGAATATATGTGTATACTTTATGGGGTCGGAAACGTTTCCTTCTGTGCGTCACAAACATCCGTTATTCCCCACAAATACAATATGCCCTATTTACTCTTCGAGTACTGGGTATAAATAGAGGAAGACATGTTGGAAAACACTATTAAGGGCACCCACATTTAGCGGGTTTATTATTAAAGTTTGCGCTCCTTTCCGAATGAGGGGAAACAATTATTATGTTGCCGTTGCTCTGCAATATCCTTTCGGGACTTCCCTACTCTCCGCCTCTCTCCCTTTTTGAAAAATAATGCTTCATGCGTAGCTCCAACGGCTTTTTCAATGTCACTCCAAGGGGCAAACACAAAAATTTATAATTTCTGAGCTCCACAGCTCTACAGCTGTCTTCCTCATGGAGAGGAGGGTCCAAATCCTACTTTCTCGTGGTGACACTGGACATAGGGAACGCCTTCAACTCGGCCGATTGGAGCCGCACTCTAGAGGCCCTTCAGCGTTTTAACATCCCTGGATACCTGCCGAGGATAGTACGTAGCTACTTCAGTGACAGGGTGCTGACGTACGAGACCAGTCTGGGCTCCAGGGCATACAATGTCTCAGCCGGAGTCCCTCCGGGCTCCGTTTTGGGACCCCTGCTCTGGAATGTCATTTACGATGGAGTCCTGAGACTACCGATGCCAGCCAACACCAACATGATGGGGCTTGCTGACGACGTAGCCTTAGTGGAGGTGGTCAAGCACCTCGCAGCACTGGAGGAGCTCGCCAACGCGGCCTTTCGAGCCGTGTAGTCGTGGCTTACGGTCTCCGTATTGGACCTGGCAGCGCAGAAGACCGCGGCGGTGCTCATATCGAGCCGGAAAGTTCTCGAAACTGCATGTGTGCAGGTCGGTGGCACCACGATACGCTCCAAGAGGGCAATCAAGTACCTGGGGGTGCTCATTGACACACGCCTCTCCTTTAAAGAGCCCTTGGAGTATGTGCAGAGGAAGGCCATCGGAACAGCAGGATCGCTCTCGCGAATACTTCTGAACACCAGAGGCCAGAAGCATGCAACGCGGGAGCTCCTGACGAGTGTAGTGACTTCGCAGATCTTGTACGCCGCGCCCGCGTGGGCGAGGCGTGGAGGCGACGTACAGGCTGTGTGCCTTAAGGATCGCGTGCTCGTTCCGGGCTGTATCGGATGAAGCAGCGCTGGTCATCGCCGGGCAAGTCCCACTTAGGGAGCTGGTAAGGGAGAAACAAGAGATCCATACAGCCGCGCAGGGCGGAAGCGAGGCGACTAGAGCCGAGCTGAAGGATACCGCAAGGAGGAACAGCATCAGCAGATGGCAGACCCACTAGGATAGTTCACCTAAAGGGCGCTGGACTTATTCCCTCATACCGAAGCTGCAAGCCTGGATCGAGAGGAAGCACGGCCATGTAGATTTTTACCTTACCCAAGCGCTTAGTGGTCATGGCTGCTTTCGCAGCTACCTCAAGCGCTTTGGCGACGAGACGGAGGACTGGTGCCCAGAGTGCGGCATCGGTATAGTGGAGGACGCACAGCACGTCCTCTTCGAATGCCACTGGTTTGACCACGAGCGTCACCGCATGGAGCCAGTAGTAGGCGCCAGGATCTCGTCCGAGACCTTGCTGCCGATTATGCTGGCCGAGCCAAGGCCATGGGAAGCCAGAGTTCGCCTCGAGCGTTATGCGAACGCTGAGAGTGTTGGAGAGGAGGNCAATCAAGTACCTGGGGGTGCTCATTGACACACGCCTCTCCTTTAAAGAGCCCTTGGAGTATGTGCAGAGGAAGGCCATCGGAACAGCAGGATCGCTCTCGCGAATACTTCTGAACACCAGAGGCCAGAAGCATGCAACGCGGGAGCTCCTGACGAGTGTAGTGACTTCGCAGATCTTGTACGCCGCGCCCGCGTGGGCGAGGCGTGGAGGCGACGTACAGGCTGTGTGCCTTAAGGATCGCGTGCTCGTTCCGGGCTGTATCGGATGAAGCAGCGCTGGTCATCGCCGGGCAAGTCCCACTTAGGGAGCTGGTAAGGGAGAAACAAGAGATCCATACAGCCGCGCAGGGCGGAAGCGAGGCGACTAGAGCCGAGCTGAAGGATACCGCAAGGAGGAACAGCATCAGCAGATGGCAGACCCACTAGGATAGTTCACCTAAAGGGCGCTGGACTTATTCCCTCATACCGAAGCTGCAAGCCTGGATCGAGAGGAAGCACGGCCATGTAGATTTTTACCTTACCCAAGCGCTTAGTGGTCATGGCTGCCTTCGCAGCTACCTAAGGCGCTTTGGCGACGAGACGGAGGACTGGTGCCTAGAGTGCGGCATCGGTATAGTGGAGGACGCACAGCACGTCCTCTTCGAATGCCACCGGTTTGACCACGAGCGTCACCGTATGGAGGCAGTAGTAGGCGCCAGGATCTCGTCCGAGACCTTGGTGCCGATTATGCTGGCCGAGCCAAGGTCATGGGAAGCGACAGCAGAGTTTGCCTCTATCGTGATGCGAACTCTGAGAGTTTTGATGCGAAATACCAAATACGGGCCGCACTCAAAATTGTACAAAATTATAAAACAAGAAAATACTAGATTGAAGGAATAAACGAATGAATACAAAAACACATAAATATGTATGGGGTACCTCTTTCGTGTGTAATAGGATTCCGCACAGGATTTTTGGTAAGCCATGGCTTTTTGCTAGGAAAATCTCTTACGTTTCCGCACACTTCCTCAAATTTGTTCCCAATTCCATTGCATACTTTTAAGCGTTGTCAGGGGAAACTACTTTTCCTAGACATTTAGGTAAGGTATATTATTAAATGTAAGTATGCTAACAACAAGATAGTCTATGACCACAGTTTGGTCTTTTTGCTCTGTGGCCATTTTGCAAACAAATTCTGAGGCGTCAGTATTTTGTGTCAGTATTTTACTGTTTACCATTTTTGGTGGTAAATTATAGGAGCATGCCTTGTGGCCTGCAGAAATGGCTCTGTGGGTTATGCAAATCATAACCAAAAGCGCCAAAAGGAAATACCAATATCTGCCTGCCAGGGGGGCAGGCACAATACTTGCCATATCAATAAAATTTTATATGAATACTTTTCTAAAATTGTTACGGATGGGCAGCTACACCATCCATACCCCTGCTACGAAAATCGTATAGGAAAACTTGCGCAAAACAAAAGGTTGATGTGAGCCAATATTTGTATAAACAGCAAACGAGGAGGAACGTGAGATGCTTCATACGCGTCACAACTTTTATATCCGGTACTCAGTCATACATTCCTTATATTCCTTAACCTTATGATTTTTTCCAATTTTACATTTTAAATTTGTTCTACATCTACATTTACTTTACGAGGCAGAGTGTGCGAGCAAAAGAGAATGTGCAAATCAAATAAACAAAGCTGCTGGAAGGGGTGCGGGCTGCCACGGGACATGAATGTTGTCATTCTGGCTATAAGCTTTGAATGGTCGCAAACGTTTCCTTCTGTGAGTTACTCTCATTGCTACAACCACAAATACAATATACCCTATTTAATCTTCGAGTATCGGCGGGTATAAAAAGCAAATATAAACACTCTCACACACCCACACTTCAGTGAACATATAAAAATTGGCCACATGTGTGACCCAAACAAGTGAAAATAAAATAAAAATAAAATAAAATAAAAATATAAAATAGAAAAAACGTAGAGTGGACAAATTTTTCGTTCTACCACACCTGGTTCAATGCTTGTCGATTCGATGTTATGTGTTTGCTGTTTTTTTGTGTTTCTTGTTGTTAATATGTGACATTATATTTAAGGGAATTGAGCCCACAGCATATATGTAGATTGGTAGATGTTTTACGTCCTGCAATAATGCCATCTCAGTCTCAGCAATTAAAAATCAAATTACAACGCTTTTTGTATCATGGATTGCATTTATCTACCCCCCAAAACACAAGCATGCAACTTCCACTGTCATGCAGCATAATTTTATGTTTTTTAACTAAGTTTAAATGGCTTTTCAGTTGATTAAAAAACTTTGGCCTTTGGCTGTTGATGTTTCCCCGTGTACGGGGAACTCGTTCACTCACTCTCTCTCCTTGTGTCCTGGTGGCAATATGTATGCAAATGTTAAGCGAGCTCTGGTAAAAAATATATTCTGTTGCATGCAATGCGTCGCTTGGGGGGAGAGAGATTTTTGTAAGTCCATATGATTGGGATTTTGGCATGTTTAATTTAAGTTAAAAGGTGTTGAAAACTTTCCCACCCGATAATAGTTAAAAGTTTTTACCAGAAACTTCAACTTTTTCAGCTGGGAAGGATTCTTTTGTGCTTAGAGTTTTCCAGGGAAGCTCGAAGGAACATGATATAGGGACTTGATAGTTGAAAAAATACTTGAGAGGGAAGTAAAAGCCCTAACAGAATGTTGATGAAAGACAGTTCAAAAATGAAAGGGAACATTTCATATACGCTTACGGAACTTCTAAATATTTTATCGCGTTTTGTTAGTGAATTTTATTTGATTATACTAAAAGTCTAAAAACACAGCCATAAACAAATATGAGTGCTAATAATATTTGTTGCACTTCCTGCAATTATTAACATCGTTCAATTATTTCATAAAATTGTTTTTCCTACATAAGGTCTTAATTTCTTTTATTTAAAGTGTTCATTAAAGAGCTCCCATGCAATTTGATTAACTTCTACATGCACTCCCAGCCAAACACAAAACAGTACAAAATAACTAATTTTAATTTTTTTTTTCTTTTTTGAATTCAAAATTTGTATTAACATTTGTACCTATTCAATGCGGACTCATCGTCTGCGACCAACGAATTTCGATGTAGCGATTAAAATAAAAAAATAAAAAATAACTATTTATTTACCATTGTCGAGAACTACAGCGCCAAAACTGTGACTCTGTGGATGCAGCAAACAGGTCACGAACAGCAAACACCAAATGTGTCCCATTTTGTGTTGGTCAACGGGGAAAAATTTCGAAATTTTTGCAAGGGCTTTAAGTAGTGGGGAAGAGATTCGTTATTATCATTAATTTGCAGGCAGCGAAGCAGGGACATTCCTTTTCCAGCATAAAAGACGGCCACATCAAATTCCGTAATATTCGAGAGGCTCAGGCTGGCACAAATTAATTGCATAATTTCCGAAAACAAAAAGTGGAGAGTACACCCAAGGATCACATTTTCAAGTTCATAATGTACAGAGGACAGAGACAGACAGGATGGACAGACAGACTGGATGGAGACAACTGGACGAAATCAGAGTCGGTGGACGACAGGACGGACGAACTATAAAAGTTGTAAATATGACATTTGCGGGCGAGGAAATAAAGGAAACTTATTAAATGTTGAACTGAATGATAAATGGTAAGTGCTGTCTGTCCAGTCACCGATTGACTTGGTGGATAAGTCTTGCCACAGACAGTGGGCATGGTACAGGGGGTCCAACACAAAAGGAGACTTTCTTGGGAGCTTTGCCCCCACCATGCCTCGTGGCCTCCGAGGACTCTCTCGTGCTGCTGCCATTTTGTCAAAGATAAAAACGAATCTTGGCCAGGGAAAAATTGTATGTTCTGCACATAGTCTGATTAGCTTTAAACGTTTTCACTGAATTCGCTTTCCAGCTTTTGGTTTACTTAGTTGTTAATCACTTGGCACACTTTCGATGGCTTACACTTGGGTTTTCTCTAGTTGCTCGTTTTCCGTATTCCGTTCTCTTTTCTATATATATCCCACTCTTAACACACGAATCGCGTTAACTGGTCGCATTGAAAACAACACCCGTTTGGTTGAGAAGTCTGCTGCCAACTGAGTGTTTGGTCTCAGAGAGGCAATCCTTAAAAACATTTCGACGCAAAGTTGTTTGCAGCATCTGCAGACCACCCCACCAGGCCACAGAGTCTCTTGACGTGAAAGCTCGTTCGTTGCGAGTCGAGTGCAAAAATTCCCGAGTCCTAAGTCGAATGTGATGATGAGTGAATGAGTATAAGTATGAGTGAGTGTTGAGTGAGTGCTGATTAGATCGAGTGTTTCAGGGTTTCTTTGTCGTGAGCGTGAAATCTGAGTACAAACAAAGGGACAAAGTATGAGAATTGAAGATGATCAAAGGGCCACAGCTGATATCGCGCTGATTTACAGCTCCAAAGTCCGTTATGAGGCAGCAGATAGCTTGGTGCTAGAGGTGGACTTTAACGGTCAACCCACTGATGGCCAATAATCCTTGCTTCACCTTAAAAACGTGTATCGACAACACGACATCAATACAGCTGGAAGGAGGTACCCTATGGCATCCAAAGAAGGCCAAGTATCTGGGCTTAGTACTAGACAAGCGTCTAACTTGCCATGACAAGCCATGGCTAAAAAGTGTGGGCACAGGATGCTAATAATCAGAAAAAGCACAATAAATTTTGAGAGCTAAAAGAGAAATATATGTTCACTGCGTGGCTTCCGTCTGGATCTACGGTGTGCAGATCTGGGGAATAGCTGCTAAAACAAACAACAAACTACAGGTGCTACCAAATCGAGCATTAGGACAAGAAACAAACTGCCCGCGGTGTGTGCGATGCTCAACCCTACACCCTGACCTTACTCTGCGCATAGTGAAGCAGCAAATTGGTAGACAAACAAGCCGGTACAGTGACAGACAGACACCGCTGTCTGCTCGCAAGTCGTCTACTACCTGGCCGGCCTCTGAGGCACTTAAAGAGATTGGGCTTTGCCAAAACTTTTAACACTAGATACAATACCCATTTCCGCATTGAGAGCCCCTGACTCTAACTTTTCGAAGGCTTCCCTTATTATGATTCCTCCTCCATCTTAACCCTCCACAAAAACATAAACTCCCCCTTGCTGCACTTTTCAACACATAACTATAATCGAACCCTTCATTTGAAATCCCCCAAGTTCAGCATGAAATTGTTTTTCTTAATTTTGTAATAATGGAGAGAGCGCTGGCTCATTATCAACTTCACTTCATTAGAATGCCAGAAATTAGCTAGAAATTACATAAAGCAAATTGCGTTATGCACAGCGAGAATCTCATTTTTGGATACATTCGTTCCGAGTTTGTTTCGTTTTGCTCTCTTTTTTGTGGTGTCTGGCACAAGTTGTGAGTGTGATAACGCATACGACCTCGTTTCCTTTTATGAGCGGGCCCGGCGACGCTAAAGTCTCGTGCGACGAAATGATAAAAGCGGACAGACAGCGGCAAGGCAAACAAAGATTGCTGATGCAACAACGTTGCATGCCACAGTCAGCTAAACGCCAACTGCGCTGCAATTTAGAGAAGAGGGAGAAAGACACAGGCCAGGGCAAGTAAGGCCAGCACAGTTTTTGGTAAGCAGCCACAGCGAAAATTGTGCAGTGCAGTGCGTTAATGTTGCAAACTCGTTTCGGTTTCTTTTTTCATTTTAGTACCTGCTTCAGGTTTGAATCAAGGAAAATGAAAAAGCAATATGTGCAACGCTTGCATTGAACTATTATCGCGGACGACGCTGTGACGGCTCTATTACAGCTGCGGCCTGAAAGTATGCCACGGGAGCAGCCATAAAACATCCACCATGTAGGCTCTGATTTCGTGCAGTGCGGGACTGTTTGCTAATGATTTCTAATACAGATTTCATAGATATAAAGACTTATATTCGACTCACCCAAAAACTTGCATTCTGTGACCTGTTCATCGCTGTGATCCTTGCAGTCGGCATCGCCATCGCACACGAATCGTATGGGAATGCAATCCCCATTGTGGCACTGAAACTGCTTCTCATCGCACTTGGCCTCCAGCGATTGTCCTGCACAGAAGATGGAGATAGAGAGAGCACACACAAAGATTGAAAGCTTGAGATTGAGATGGATGAGTAAACAGATAATTTAAGCTAATTATAAACAATTCCTGTGGGGGAATGGATGGTTTTGGAGCGTAGCAAAAGTTTTCTCATTAAAGATACAAACATAAAAAACACCCAACAAAAGCCCATTGATTAGGGGCCACAAAAATTCAAAACAATCAGCAACAGACAGATACCCATACAGCGGTAGCAAACATATACAGCTACCAGTATGTGTGTGTGTGTGCGTGTGTGTATGTGAAGAAGTAATTTGCATACTAAACGATAAACAAACGATGGCAGTGGCACTGGCAGTGCTTTTTAATCAACAGAAAAATACTGAAATTCAGAACTTTTTTGGAATCCCTTTGCAAACGCCCTTGAAAATATGCAATAAACATACATATTGGACACGAAACGAAACAAGCCATTACACACACACGCACAGGGAGCCACCCCCGCCCTAGAATGTCAGTCTTAGTGGCCTAATAGAAAATGTGACAGGCATTAAAAAAAGAGAGAACAAAATGAAGCAAGAAAAGCAAGTAAAAGATTGCCAGTGACCAAACAGAGAGACAAAGAGAGAGCGATTTTGTGTGAAATAGATGGAGAGTGGTAGGGGGACCAATTTTGAAAAGGGTTTCGGGTCATGGGTCCTGCAGCTGACAGCAGCTTTCGAGGCACCGACCGCTCAATGATGCTCTTGAATATTTCAATATCTCAATATTTTCCCCACACATAATCGAGTATATAAGTACATATGTATTTATTTTGGCTAATTGTTGTAATTGAAGTCCGCAACCGAAACAACAAATCGAGTGAGGAGGGAATAAACAAACGTATTGAATACACTCCCTTCCTCCATCCAATTTCCGGGCCTTGTCAATCAATAAGGTCAAATCAATTCAATTCTGTCTGTGTGTGGGTTTCGCCTGTCGCCGAGTTGGCTGCCTCTGCCCTGGAAATTGTTTTCAATTATGCATCACGCCAGTAGACAAAATGACGAATTATAATTCAGGCATATGTATGCGAGGATATATATTCTTCTACATGTACGCACATACGTCGTACATACGCCACATATTCCATATTCATGTTCAATATATTCCACAAGACGTCAAGCGGTGACGCACAGTGAGGAAAGAAAGAGGCAAAAATCGAAAAATATTTGAAAGCTTTGGATACAATGAAAGTACGCATTTCATAGAGAATTTTCCATAGCTTCCCAAAATCCAACTTTCAAGAAAATCTGACTTTGGTGGTTTTTATGGCAGACCTTTTTGCTAAAGAGTTTTTAAAAGCTGGTATTTTTTTGTTAAGGTTTTTTTAGTGGTAGCTCTTTATTTCTTCACATTAGTAAGGTATCTTACATCTGGTTGTAATGAACTTTGCTAATAATTGCATCTATAAACTGTACCCAAACACTTTGTGGCTTTGCCATACCGTCAAGAAAATATTTGGTTTGAAATGCAAAAATTATGATTTTTGTGCGGTATTTTTAGTAAAATTTGTATACCGGCTACTCGAAGAGTAAATAGGTATTTGTATTTATTTATTTGTTATTGTATTTGTGAGCAATGTGAGCATATCTCATGATTTTGGTAATCTTACAATCGAAAACATGTTCGCAGCGCAGTCCGGTTGGCTTAACAGACTAAAAACAGAGCATTTCGCAGCTAGTTATTATCGGATTATACGAGCATTATAGTCATTGATCATGTCTGCCAGTAATATAAGTACAGGTTGAATAATTATCGTCTCAGGGCCAGACTAATAACATAATTGTGGGAATAAGGATGTCTATGGAATGTAGGTTTGATAAAGAACCAGTGATAAGCGCCCATAAAAAACAATATCACGATCGGGTTTAGCAATTAATGCTTACTTATATTCGAATATAATCCAGGAGACAAGCCCTGTAATCAAGTTCAAGGTTTATGGATTGTTGTTCTAATTGTATAATTTTATATAAATATTCTGTGGGGGTGGTTGTGTCTGTGCATCATCGTATGCATTCCACTCCTCCCACATGTTAAATCAATCAAAACATGTTTACTCTGAACAAACATAACAATTAAACTGCAACAACATGCCGTGGTATATATACGCCCACAAGCCCCCTATTAATTGTTTTACTAAGATACTATATGCGATTCAGTTATATTGTTGTTGCCTTTTGTTGTATGTGTATTGGTTCTGGCGCAAACTAGTTTTCTATGCCTGAGAGAAATCTCTTGGCTCAGCGAATAAATTAAATCAACAAAATGAAATGGGGCGACAGAATCGAATTCCATCTCTCTTCAACGACCTTGCCACAGTCACATATACCCGTGCGAGCGAGTACATACATATGTACACATACCCGTACTGGCAGCTTCTCTTAAAAATAATCAACTCGGAAAACTATAAATCAATAGCGAAAGATTAAGAGACTCAGAGCTATATGAATAACAGCTGTAGTGGGGAAAATATTACATGGAAAATCTACATCGAAATAGGAGGCTCGACACTCGTCTTTTCATAGTTTTCATATCTCAAAAACAATTTAAATTTAACCACGAAACGCAGAAGGAGAGGCAGCGAAAAATCTTTTTCTGGACTACGTCAATTTGTTGACGCGCCAATGGCGCAGAGCTCTCTGAACTGCGCCTTGTTTTGGTTTTTATACCCGGTACTCGAATATGTAGTGGCTACCCAGCCCCTCCGAGCTCTGTGCAGTGCGCTGCCCTCTAGACGAGTAGAGCGTTCTAAAAGGACGGGCTGGTGTGAGAAGTGATGTAGATGTAGATGACATATGTAGGGAAAACCTTAAAATACCGAAATACCCGGTACTCGAGGAGTAAATAGGGTATATTGTATTTGTGCGAATAACGGTTGCATGTAACGCACAGAAGGAACCGTTTCCGACCCCATAAAGTATATATATATTCTTGATCAGCATCAATAGCCGAGTCGATAGAGCCATGTCTGTCTGTCCGTCTGTCTGTCAGTCCGTCCGTCTTGTTTGTCGGCCAGTTCTCAGAGACTATAAGAGCTGGAGCCACCAAATTTTGGCTCCGGACTGCTGTATGTAAACCCACCCTGTCCCTTAGCTTTTGTTGTTCTTTTCACATTCTCTCATTCACACTCTGCTTCTGCTTCACTCGGCCTCTGCCTCTGCCGTCCCTCTGCCTATGCCACTGCCTTAACCCACCCCGTCCGCCTTCTAGGGAAGGGCGGCGAGCTAAATGAGTGTGTTGGTGTGAGAGGTGTTGTTTATGTAGATGACAGATGCAGAACAAATATAAAATTTGACAAATAACCGCAAAGGTGCAGATGTAGTAATGAGTGCCGGGTATAAAAGTTGTGACGCGTAAGAAGCGTCTCCCACGTCCTCGTTTTTTTTTTTTTTATAGGAGAGCGTGGGAATGGCATTGGATGGATGGGTTGGATATACGGTGTCTTTGTGTCAACAATCCTATTTACTTTGGACAAAGTAAAAAAGACCCAAGTGCAAAGAACAAAAGTGCAATTGAATTTCTCTTCCATTTTTTAATGGAATTAAATTATATATGTATGTACATACAATATTAAAATATATATTTGAAATGATTTAATTGCAATTGATTTTGATTGCATGTACTCGAATCTTGCTTAAATTTTCTTTTAATTATATGATCAGAAAAACAACCACGAACTTTTTCACGAACTTTAAATTCCTTTTGTCTTTTTATAATGTTATTAAATACATTGTAAGATACATGTTATATTCGTCACTGTAATAATTCAATTATTTGATAACACTACTCGACAAATCCGAAATATTGGTTCCTTAAGGACCCACATTAACTTTTTATACCCGGTACTCAAGGCGCTCAACAAGACGGACGGGCAGACAGATATGGCTCTATCGACTCGGCTATTGATGATGATCAAGAATATATATACTTTATGGGGTCGGAAACGTTTCCTTCTGTGCGTTACATACATCCACTTTGTGCACAAATACAATATACCCTATTTACCCTTCGAGTACCGCGTATAAAAAGCCTCAAAGTGCTTGGGTACACTTTACAGATGCATTTATCAGGTTTTGAAATTGACTAAATTCTGTACAACTAAATGTTAGATACTTAAGTTATTCGGAAAAAAAGCGCTGCCTCAAAAAAATACCAGTAAATTAAAAATACTTTAAATCGAGTTGAAACGTGTGAGACGCTTCGTACGCGTCACAACTTTTATACCCGGTACTCAGTAAGTATATCTGTACCTTATTGTTTTAATTCAATTTTAAATGTTATGTTTTTCTACATCTTTCTTTCTACATCTTTTCTCCCGACAACCCGCTCTTTTAGCTCGCCCCCTTCCCGTAGAGTCGCACACTGCACGGAGCAGAGTGTATGGTGCTGTGACGGGGTGGGGGTAGATATTGCAAATGAATCTTCATTCTGGCTGTAATAATGACCCAATCTTATCCCAATTCGGTGTTCTGATAGATATGGTAATTCTATCGCATACAGAAGTCTGGATGCAAAACTTGGTTGTCATATATCTTATGGTATTTGAGTACCAGGCGCTCATAAGGAAGGATGGACAGACGGACGGACGGACACTGATGCTGATAAATAATATATATACTTTATGCTGTCGGAAACGTTTCCTTCTGTGTGTCAAATACATCAACTGTTCCCCACAAATACAATATACCCTATTCACTCTTTGAGTACCGGGTATAAAAATTCGTTCCGGGTAGTGCCACTATAATGTCACTCAATTTTTGGAATGCCCTTGGCGTTGGGTAAATCCCATCAATTTATTCCACAGATAAGATAATCCCACCAGTAGGAAATGCCTGTGGGCCAAAACAGGATTTATGATTGGAAATTCCTCGATATGCCTCGCGACGTCATAGATAGTCGCGTATCGTGGTTTCCGTATCACTGGCTATTGTTAAACTTGGTGCATCAATGAGGAAGTTGATGCAAAATGCTGGTCTGCACTAGCACAAGTGCAACAAGTGGCAAGCGGCCGACTGGTTTCTGTAACTCTTTTGCTAAAACTCAATCCAATTGCTTTGATTGTGTGAGTCGCAGAGCATCGAATAATATTACCCTGACCCTACGAATGTGATAAGAGTTTAATGAACTTCTTCTGTCTATAATCTTCATTGATCAAAGCTACCTAAGAATATATCTGCAGTTTAGTTTTGTGATATCAAGGAATAGGTAGCCGTAGGGTATGGGGTTCAATAGACATTGGAGGTCGTAGTCGGACAAAAAACCGCCTGGAATCTTACTTCTCTTCTAAGTGTTTCCTTTTCCATATCATCCTGGCGGTTTATCCATTAATAATCAAGACCATGTTGATGTCTCTACTATTTTAATAAGGCCTCAACCTTATTTTTCTTCTTCGAGGAATTGTGTCTTTTAATATATTTATCTTTGTGGCTAAGTTGCTATGACGTCCCGAAAATTGCTAAAAATGAGAAAAATTATATACCCAAATTGATTTAACTACCTGTCAAGAGTGTCGAATGTTGTATGTATGTATGTATGTATCTCGAGATAAGATTTCTTTCGTTTTGTCTTTGCTATGCTCTCTATCTAGGGTATCCAGACTTCAATTCAAAATCTTAGCATAAATCAAGGCTAAAAAAACTTTACACTTTTCTTTTGCACTTTTCTTCTCTATCCTCGTTTTGGGATCATTCTTACCTATGCCGAGGGGAGTGCCAATCTTTCCAGATACATTCAGAAATTTGAAGCTCATGTTGATGAAGGTCTTGCCATCGAGCAGTTTGCTCAATGAGCCAGCACCAGCTGAGTCAGGAGTCAGCCGTTGCTGGTGTGCTGTCGTTGTTGTTGCTGCTGCTGTTGGTGTTGTCCCTGCTGATGCGGGTGTGGGCGTGGCTGTGCAACATTTGCCCAAGCCGAGCATCAACGTTAGCAGCAGCAGATTGAAGTTTGCACAGGCGCAACGGAACAGCTGTTCCGCCCGTCTCTTGCTGTTGCTATTGTTGTAGAGATTGATGTTGTTGCTGCTGTTTTTGCTTGTTGTAGTTTTTGGATTTATTGTTGTTTTGATTGTTGCTTTTTTTATTGTGGTATCACTTGCAGTGCCCATAGGGCGTTTTCCTATGGCCATGGTATAGTTTACTTTCTTAACGTTTTGTTCTGCTTTTTCTAGAGTTTTTCCTATCAGTTCTTTTGCACTTTTTCGCTCAGTTTTTCACTCAGTCTTTTCACTATAAGAAGAGGGAGGCAATAGTGTTAAGACTTGACCCTGGCCATTAGATTGCCTAAGCAGGAAGCGTTGGATCTGCCGCAGAGATTATCTAATCAAAGAAATTACCGAAAGACGACACAGCGCCTCCTTAAAATAAACGCTAAAGTCTCTGTGCAAAATAGAAACATTGGAAACGTTTGCCAAAAAATACCGGCTACGACTCAATCTCTTTGATTTGATTTTGCGTTGCGCTCTCTTTTCATTTCTTAAGATGACCGCACAAAACACACGCATTCACTCACGAAAATGTTCACAAAAACAAAAATCAAAACTAAAATCAACCAGAAGTAGCAGCAAAACTGGTTAAAGTCGTACGACCCCAAAAACACCAAGACTAAAACAAGACACTGCCAAAAACAAAAACAATAAGGAACGTCACAGTCGATAATTCGACTAGAAGATACCCCGCTAATCAACACTGCACTGATTAGAAAATATATTTCTGCTCGTATATATGTATGTATGTTAAATAATAGACAAAATCTTCCACAGATAGTATCCACACAGAACAAATGTTGCTTAACCAATATGGCAAAAATACTTGTATAATTGTGGTATGTACTTTAATAGTTTCTCGGAACAGGGAAACATCTCATAAAACGAAACTAGAATCTTGAAACGTGTTTTCTTCATACTAATGCTCTAACCCTTTAACACAACCTAACCCGATATACCCTCGCACTTTGCGAGTACAAGATAAGAAACCCGAAAAACTGTGAGCAAGTGAAGAATTAAGCAAAATTATCGGACAACAACAAATGTTAGAGAGAGACAGCGAAATGCGAGACGAACGTAGGAAAATTCAAGACAGAGGTGGAGAAAGACGAGGAAAAGAACACCAAACCACAACAGAAACAACAACACAGGTCTGTTGACGTTGACAATTATAAAAAGGCTGTGGCACTCCGTTGTAAGGGGTGAGATTCAATCACTCGATCGAGCACAGTAATTAATTAAATATTGTTTACGTATGTATGTGCATATATCCAATTTTTTAAAACAAAGCCCTTTTATCAGTCGACAGTTATTTTTTCCAATAATTCTGGTTTTTGTGGTACATGCATATGTATTTTCAAGGTGTCTGTGAATGTGTGGCACGTGCTGAGATGTGGGTTTTTTCTGCCGCTATATTTAGACTCTATTTCCGTTTTGTTTGAAAAGTTCTTCGATTAACATTCGATTTGTTTTTACGCTGAAGATATCTTGGGGTAAAAAAGACGCTATTAAAATGTCCGGTGACCACAACGCGCCTTTTTCAAATGATTTCGTTTCTTAAATCTGCCTGCAATTTTATGCGATTTGGCAACAATCTCGATCCTATGCGACCCGATTCGATTGCGCGATCGTCGCATCGCGTCGTGTGTGCTCTCTTACGCTAAGAAAGAGACCGCGAGAGAGGGAGCTTGTCTTTCTTGTTGCTTTTGCCTGTCGTGTTTTCTTTTGTGCTACTGCCTCAACGTTGTCTTATCCATGAAGCATTTATATGAGGTGGTTTCGTCGACTGCCTAATGGTCTCGCTTGCGCACCAATAGCGTTCAGTGCGTTTTGGCTTCTTGGCGAAGAGTAAATAGGGTATATTGTATTTGTGGGGAACAGTGTATACATAAAGTGTATATATTCTAGATCAGCATCAATAGCCGAGTCAATTGAGCCATGTCTGTCCGTCTGTCCGTCCTTATGATAGCCTAGTAGATAGAGACCAAGGGGAACCAAGATTTGCATTCAGTATGTATGCTCACACTGATAAAAGTGTATAAAAGCTATGACGGGTAAGAAGCGTCGTACACGTCCCTTCTCCTTTTAGAATTAAGAGCCTAAGGAAAAAAATATCTATTAAGAAAAAAAAAATAATGCCCACTCTCCACCTGTCACTCGCACTTATTGACAGCATTGTTAGCGGCCGTTTTGCCGATGAGACCACCTTATATAGTTGCTTCGAGGTGCTGCTGTTTTTGCTCTTGATCATGACGAAACTATATAAGGAGGTCTCGTCGGCAAAAATAAGCAGAACGTGCGAGTGAAAAGTGCGAGGGAAAGGGCTCTCGCTGCAAGTGTGACGGCAACGACAATGGAGTGTGCTGATTAACCATTTGAAGGTAATGTGAAAAAACATAATAATTGTTTCATAATTTAATTTTGAATAGTTTACTACATAAGAGTTCTTTTATAATTCATAATTCTTTGTTTTGAAAAAAAAAACATTTAAAAAAATGTTAAAACAAATTTTGTCCGCAACCAACTTTCCGCGTCGACAAGCAAACGAGCACTGACAATAAGCAGAACCAACGAGTAACTCTGTCACCGACGTGGCCTCCTTATAGTTACTTCGTGCTGTTGATCTTTCTGCAGATTTATTTTAAGACTGCTCTTAAGAGAGTACCCGAGATTAGGGAAACCTGTTGATCAATGATCAATAAAGTGTTTTTTCGTTGCATGTGAATGGATATATTGGAACTTTGACGGTGGTTGGGTATAGAACATATATTTCAATGGATTGTTCTTTCATCATGTGAATATGAAATTTCAGATTTTAAGACTATCAAGTATTCCACTTGAATGTATTCAATCGATTGTAGATTGCATGTTGTTGTTGAAGTTCTTATGAATTTTTAATTGAGGTCTCATTGTGAAAAATAAACTTTACATTACATGGACAAGCCCACTTCATGATCAAGCTGCTGTCTAAAACTGTTTGTTGGGAAACAATAGAGCCCGTCAAGTGGAAAGTTATTCAGTTTTTATGTGTTGCGGATGTTTGCGAATCGATTTTTTCAAGAGTTGATAAGGGCGGATGGCAGGTGAGTGCAATGAACAGGCTTTTTAATTTTTTACAAGAATATTATGACTACACAAGTGATCCCAATTATATTCAAAAAGCGCTTCACAGCTGTCTTCAAAATCTTCTTGAGGAGATTTTGAGAACTTGATTATTGAATGATAATTTCCAGGATCAAATGATCAATGGTAGAGCAATGACAAAACCAGCAAAATGTAAATTAATTGTATGTATGAAAATAAGCACATATTAATGGGATATTTAAGTATCCTGATCTATAAGTTATCGTACCAACCTTGACAACAGGACAAAACCCATAAGAACACAATTAGTACCAATTCTGGTGCATGCATATCACTTTTTAGCATGGTAAATACCAGAAATTCCCTTTCGTGTAGGGCCCGTTATAGGTAAATAGACTTTTATCTATAGGTCGCGACTTCCTTTTTGCGTTACCAGCTGCCTCCTCCGTTTTATCAGTGCGCCAAAAAAGATAGTGCGAAAAACGGTTAGTGCGATAATCGTACGACTATTGTGCTGCCATATGTACATATGTACGTATATACTCGATGATGGTGTGCATATAAGCTATATCCGGGTGTTCTTGGGCAGGTGGTATTTTGGAAGACCCGGAGCTTTTCACGGTGCGATGCCCAGCAGCGACCAACGCGAACTGAAATTGAATCGGACTCGGAATCGGAATCGGGGAACTCATTAACATTGAAAGTCAATCCAAACTATGTGTGTGAGCGTGTATGCGATCGATTGAAATGTGAAATTATAAATTGAATTGAATTCATTATACCCGGTACTCGAAGAGTATATAGGGTATATTGTATTTGTGCGAATAACGCTTGTATGTTTTTTGAACACAGGTTTTTTGGGCCGGAGCTATAACTGAAAACTCCAGCTTTCGAAGCACAGAAGAAAACGTTTCCGACCCCATTAAGTATATATTTTCATGATCAGCATCAATAGCCGGGTCGATTGAGCCATGTCTGTCCGTCCGTCCGTTCGTTTGTCCGTCTGTCTGTCCTTATGAGCGGCTGGATCTCAGAGATTATAAAAGCTAGATCCATCAAATTTTGCATTGAGACTTCTGTATGCTCACACTGTTACAAGTGTATTTCAAAAATGAGCCCCGCCCCCTTTCAAACCCGCAAAAAAAGCAAAAATCTCCCAAAGCTAAAATTTTCAGGATAAGAGAAAACTAAATCTCCATTCCGTAGGGAAGGACTATATCTATCAGATCACCCTTGGGATCCGATTGGATCATTATTATAGCCACAATGAAGAAATTAATTTTCAGTGGCTAAACCCACCCTGTCCCGAAGCATTTATTTGCTTTTTGCACATTATCTCATTCACACTCTGCTTCGCTCAGTGTGCGGCCTCTGCCTCTGAAGTGTGCGGTTCTAGGGGAGGGGATCGAGCTAATGGAGCGTGTTGGCGTGAGAAGTGATGTAGATGTTGATGAAAGATGCAGAAAAAATGCAAAACGTAAAATTAAAAATTTGAAAAAAAAACCGTTAAGGTACAGATGTTCTTCTGAGTACCGGGTATAAAAGTTTTGACGGGTATAAAGCATCTCACACGTCCCCTATCGTTGAGTTTTAAGTTTGAGTTGAGTTGAATTTTGTATGACGTCCATAGGTGTTTGGCTGATAATAGTCGGACACAGGTTTTTCGGGCCGGAGCTGAAACTGAAAACTCCAGCTTTCGAAGCAAAGGAGTCGCCTGCTGAACATCATCATCATGACAAACAAATGCAATCTCAACAAGGCTCTCCCTCGTCAGCAGCATCCCAAACATCATTATTTCTATTGTCCATCATCTGCATTTGTCAGCGTAGTGTGTCGTTTTGGGCCACTTCAAAATGGCACATAATTTATGATTTATGCGTGTAAATCATTTTTCAAGCACCACCAACCCCTTGCGAAGCTGCCTGTGATACTTGCTCGTGACAGTTTCCAGTACTTCCAGTACTTACTAGTTTACATTATTACCGCGGCCGTTTCTAATTGTAGGCGCTCAAAATATCTGGCAAATCGCTCGTCTAATCAAGCACTCCACTTAACGCTGCATTTTATCGCTTTTGGGACCCGGCCCGGAGTCGCGTGTTCAAGTTCCGTCTAGTTCGACTCGCTGGAGAGGAATACAAGGTCTCGGT